ACCAAAGACTGGCAGGATACCCTTGAATCACAGGATGTAGAATTCAGTCTTGTGAGGGAAAAACCTTAAGCTCTAGGTTTCTCAATTGGATGTCATTCACCTTGAGTAGTTAGAATACCCACCTGGAGAAGAAATGCAACTTGTGGATGGGGTTTTTCACTTAGTGTTGCGTAGTGCACTGTGTGTTGGTGTGTGTTCCTGTCTGTTTCACATTTTAAACAGCCTGTGAGACTTGCATGAAGTCTGGGGGAGAACTCTGGTCACGTTTTTAAGTTCATCCTTTGTATGCAGTAGATGGAACTGATAGCTTGACATATTTTCCAGTAAAGTAATCTTTCGAGCTCTATGATCAGCTTATTACGACAATTTTACTTCCTGCTCTATCAGACATCTAATATCTGCTACTCATGGTTATCAGCAAGTTGTTTCTCTTTCTATTTTTGACTTGCTAGAGTCATATCCCTGGGATATTTTTAAATGTAAGTTCTGGAAGTGTTTAAATGTAATTATACATGTGCAGGTGAAGGAATTACTCTCATGCTTACAGTTACTTCTGCCTGAGGACTTCCTGGGTCCAGCAGTTAAATTGTTGAGACTTGATAGAGGCTGTTAAACACAATTTAAAATGCGCAAAATAATGGAGTCAAGTGGTAATTCTTGCTATAAGGTGTTATGACCAGAAGGTAACTTTCAAGTAAGCTTCATTGTGCTTCTCTGTGCCTTTGTCTTTAAAGTTGCTAGTACCCTGTTTCTTTAAAGTTTCAGATAATGTTCGTGATGGGAGGGAACCAAAATGTGCTTGTAAAAAGAGTAGCTTGCTATGTTTTCATCTGTTTCTGACACTTAAAATAACAGCTATTCCTATTATTTTTAAAATCAAGGGGGTAGTCTTTTTTTTTTCTTTCTTTCCCTGGGGCCTCTTGCAGCGAGAGTTGCTAAAACTCTGAGTAGATTTCCCTGCTGTGGTTTTGATGCATTTCTGTGTGAAACGAATGGCAGGATTTGTTCTAGTATGTAGGCCACTATTGTATTAGAATTACATAACCATGTGGAGTGGTAGAAACAGATGAAAAGACCAGGATGCACGGCGTCCCCAAACAGACCATATCCCGTGACAATGAAGACAGCGCAAGCTCTGCAGAGAATGTGGTCACATGCAGTCAAAAAGTTGAGGATTTTAAGGGGACACGTGAGTTGCTTTTTGTTGCATATTGCTCTGGGTCTTTCCTCCCTCCCCTGCGTGCCTTGTGTCTCCTTCCCCCCTCCAGCTCACTTTCACAGCCCGATGACTGTGGTGGCAGGTCTTCTGGTGGTGGTTTTCTGAAAGAAGCTGCCTGGGGCCATCTCTCAGTTGCAAGTAATTGCATAAATCGCAGATGACTGTCGGTGGGAGTTGCTCTTTGTAGCTCACAGATGATTTTAGTACTCTGAATTGTTTCCTGCCACGGATTCTGTCAAGTGGTCTGTACTGGGCATGTTGAAAGCGCCTATCGTTTCGGTGTTCAGAATTAGGCAGATTTAAGCAAATCCTGACTGCAGTGTTCTCATTAGAAATTGACTGACTTTAGTCACTAATGAATTTGGACTAGCTAATGACAATTTGCACTTCCTGCAGCTATCCTGTAGCTATCCTGCTATCTGTGTAAAACCTTGCAAAACAGTTAGTAGCAGTTACTGGAGGTGGAATTTTCACTGTTTTGCCTGCCTTTCTTTCTCCAGTGTTTCTGTGTGCGATTTTGCATTGAAATGGCAATCATACAAGGGATGTCCAGGCTGTTCAGATCCTTTCTTGTTTCCCTAGAGATAAAGAGCGAAGAAATTGGCTAGGGTGATGGGAGATTTTTGTAACCTATCACTTGATGCAGACAGAGGACAGTCGTGTCATTAGGTGTGGAATATAGGAATTTTGTTATTCTGGTGGAGACATTTAACCATAGTTTTGGAAGTCCTTGGCTGGTGATTTTTAGCATTTGTAGTCTCTTCCTTCCTTTTAGTCTTCCCCAGTAAACTGTCAGTATCAGTTAGTATCGTGGCAATGGCATGCAGCAGTATTTTTTTTTAATAATGTTAAAGGGATTATTGCTGAGAGATTTGAGGGAGTACAGATGTGTTTTTTGCCTTGCAGGCTTCCAAGGTGACCATTCAGTTCTCTGAACTGTGTTGCAGAGCCTGAATGGCTTTATCAGTATGGCATAGCTGGTCCTGCTGTCGTGGTAATTATGTTGCACAAAATCAGCTTTGCAAGTACATAATGTACTTTCCTTTACTAATATGGTATACAGCAACTGGGAGTCAGTTTCCCAAGGACCAGTTTCTGAAAACATATTAATTACAAATTTAAAAGTGAATTATTTAAGTGTCTTCTGTTTAATGATTACTAACAGTTTCAGGCTAAAAATTCCCTTGCCTTCCCCTCCCCCAGATTTACACAGGAGGTATGTGAAGACCATAAGTGATATTTTAAGTATCATTTTCTGGGCACAGATGAGATGACATTGCTGGCTTGGCATCCTACAGGATCATAACTTTAGTATCTGTAGGCACTAGTTTCTTTTCCTTTCCTATTGTTCGTTTTTATGACCAGATATCACGAGACTTGCTTTTCAGAGCAAATACTTATCTATGTTAGTTTTGTATATATTTGCTACATGATGCATCTCTTGTCTCAGGTGCAAGGTTTTACTACACAATTCACTAGAGCCATCGTTTTAGTGAAGAAAATTCCTATAAGCTCAGGTTTTTTTCTACCCATAGATCCTGTCCCAGTATCTTTACTCTCCTTTACTTAGCCCCTTTGCTGCAGCATTGCATTTAACAAGCAGTCATTTCTCAGACCATCCTTTTACAGATAGAATATCAGAAGGCTCAATATTAGAGCTGCTGGAAGAGCAGGGTCTGTGTGCTACCCTCTGCCCATAAGGGCAGTCTGCCTGCTTATTTTTGTTTGAACAGAGCCGGTCTCAGCAGTGTGTTGGGCTGGTAAGTAACATTGGTAAGGACTGCAGGCAGTGTAAATTGAATTTAAATGATGTTCTTGCCACGTACATAAGTTGTTTGGGCTTGTATGAAGTAAGAGAGATAGAAAAGATTTTCCATCTACCTGTCCACAAAATCTGAACTTGACTGTGTGTCCTTTAAATGTTACCAATTATTTGATCCCTTTTCGTTTCTAAAATTTTCTTCAGTGAAGCTGACTGTAATTTAAATGACACTGCAGCCTTTCTTCAGCACTGACAGCAGAGTTTGAAGATACCATATAGAAAAGTAGGACAGTAATGGTATAACTTATAAGGGTCAGTAGTAGCTAAACTATCAATTTTCATACATGCCAGACAAGCAAGTGTCAAACAGCACTTCTGTTTCTCATAGCAGCTAAAAAAAAGCATGTAGATAAGGAGATTTTTTTCTTTTTTTTAGCCTACAAGAGATCTCTGTGTGAGGGAATTTGTGTCGTGAGATGGTTCTCTGTCAACTTGCTGAAGGATTAGGCATGTAAATTGCTAACATGAGAATATCAGAGAAAATAATTTCACCATATGCTTCAGCAGAGTAACTGTCTGGCAATAGACACATACATTTTAATAGGAAGTTACAAATGCCACTTATTCTAGACAAGTAGAAGATTAGGAGTACTCACCTGTGTTAAATTCAATTTAAGCCATTCTCTGGACAGATGTGCTAAATGTGTTTTTAGTTAGATTCCTAGAAACTGGATAGTGTCCATTTTGGAGGAGAAAAGTAATGCTGCACATGTAGTGTTGTTTGTTGCTTCCTGATAAGAATATCAGGAGTATCGAGCATATTCCTTCAGGATTGCTGAGCAGAACTTAAGCTTCATTCTACTTCGTGGTGTTTGAAACTTTCACTGGAAGAATACATCGTGGGGTTCTCTGCATTTGAGAAACAGCATCCATGGCTTGCCAAATTGCTACTGACTGCCCAAAAACATTTGTTCTGGAAAAATGAGGGATGCTTTACAGCACAGGCATATCCATTGTGTATCACATCTTGTCCGTTTTTTTGGGCTAGTGCTGTCACTGCTAATTCCTCTAAAGCCTTGCAAAGTCAAAACTGAGCTTCTAATATGGCTTCTGCTTCCTCAGGAAGCTCATATCTTACCAAGAGAAACGTCTACTTTTAGCAGTAAAAACAAATAAAACTGTGACTTCGGTATGCATGCACATTCTCATGAAGAACCTGAATTTTTCTTTTGCAAATGAAGGCTCTGTGTTTTGAATCGAAAAGTTTTTAGTGTCAAATACCGTGGTTTGTTTTTTTCTCCTCATTTCAAGGCCAGGCAGTGAAGGAGCTAGCTATATGATGCACCACTACTGAGTAGTTATTTTGTATTTTATTTTAAGTTGGAAAGATTTCAGGTTATAACATGTAAGGTAAACAGACCTATTCAGGATCAGTTTATATTGGAAATGTGGAGAGTAAAAAAAAAATAAGGAAAAATAGACATCTGAGAAGTGTCATAGAAATGGATATACTAGTGCTACGTAGAGATACACTGTTTTTCTGTAAAATAAAATTTTATCTGGAGAATCGAAATATTCGATTTATAACTCAGTGGATTTAGCATTTTGCCAAATCCATGTGAACAAGAAGGATCTGAAGGCTCACTGGTTTTTAAGATCTCAGTTTCAACTACTGATCTTGTGATATATTGGAATGGAGAGATACTCAGTTTGCGTTCTTTGAATCAGGGTTATACCATGGTAGTGTGATTTGAATTAGTTTCTTATGCTAAATGAAGCTTTTCTGAAAATTAGAATGAACTGTTGTATCAGTGAAATTTGAAGGAATTCTATCAAATGGAACCTTCAGATATTTTTTTTCCAATTTTAAATAAATAAATGAAATGCATGTGTTTCGTACTAATTATACCAAATGCTTATAATAAATATATTATGTTTAATCTGTGTTTTAATGGGGTATTTCACAGTCTAGGTAGTTGTATGCTTTTTGTTTTGCTAATTGGTTTCTGTGTGCAACAGGCCCCAGGCATGGAAGAGCTGATATGGGAACAGTACACTGTGACCTTACAAAAGGTGAGTGCCTGTTAATATTTTTTGGCTTTCGGATATACTAGTACTGCTGATACCGATATGTTTCACAATAAATGTTATTAGCATATCTGAGCCCAGAGTATGATTAATGTGTTGTACGAATTAGATATGTTTTCCATTTCAAAGCTTAATTGCTAGTTACTCATACTATAATGTGACTCATTAATGTTAAAAATAAATTAAATTAACTGCTTAAGTGCTATATTTACTTCTATTTAGCCTTTGTAATAGCAGTCTAATGTACTACACAACAGCCACATAGGAAAATTCATCACTGAATAACCTTAAAAGCAAAGCAGATGGCTTTATTATGCAGTTGTGATTAATGTTCAAGCTTTGTAAGTATCACTGAACACATTTCCACTGATTTGTTTGTATATACTTTCAACCAGTGTGGAATTTAGTTGTAAAGTACTTCATCTAAATTTCTAAAATGTGCAAGCTACAAGCGTTGCTTTAACGTTCAAGAAAAGCTGAAGTTAGATTGGTATGTTGCAAGCCCTTTTGAGTTAAACAAAGTCTGTCTCTTGCTTGTGAGTTCTGTGAGGGCTAAGCCACCACAGTACAATACAGGATATGTTGCTTGACAGTGTTGGTAGTCTTCCCAGCTGTTTTGGTGATCTGTGTTCAGTGAGCAGGCTGTACTATGGTATTAGTGTTTTTCATATGTCCTACATTGAAATGAACTCAATGACCTGAGGTAAAACAGTCGCCTCACCTACAGAACTGGTTTTATGGGGGAATTTCTGAGATGGATTGCTTTCCATGTTGCGGACATGGACAGGTGAAACACTGCAGAAGATCGTAGTTCTTGAAATTCTCACCTTTTCAGGTATTGACTTCCCTGCAAATGTGCATTAAATCTTTAATTCAGAGATAGCTGTTTATCACTTGAGCAGTGTGAGCCATGGACTTACTGTTTCAGACACTACCATTGAGTTCTACAATTAAGTTCTTTATTGTTTTGCTTGAAGCACCAATCTACTTCCTGTAAAGCTAAGATGCAGTAAAAGTGAAGCTTTATTATTTCCTTGAAGAAATAATCTCTTAATATTGACTTTAATGGAGTGTAAGCTGGCATATGATTAAATACACATGCAGAGTGGTAGAAGTACCACTTTAATCTGGTGAATTATTTCATGTGTAACTTAATTAAAATTTTAAAATGTTCCTGTGGCATAACTTGTGTATACATATATACATATTTGTTTTAAGGACTAGAAGGTCTTTATTGTAGCTAGTAGCATTCAACCCGTGTTTTAAATAAAATGTATGGTTTTGTGCACATGTTCTTGTCTGCATTTAAATTATGCTAACACTTCAGGTTTAGTGTTACAGGCATGATTCCTTTACATCTTGTTAAGTACTTCTTTGACTTTTTTGAATGCCAGAGTTGAGCAGTTACAGATCTGACATTTCTATGAGAGCAGGTTCGACTTAAATTGCTTATTTAAAATACTTGATAATGAGAGAGTATAAAATTCATAAGTACTTTGGCTTGCTTTTTCTAATCTTGTTTAGCCTGGTTGAGGAGTAAATAAGTAATGAAAGACTAGATAGCGGCTAATAAAGATGACATAATAGAAATGCTGGTCTGATTTCCTAAGCATCACTAACAAAATAGAGCCATATATCCAACAGTAACTTTGGCATGAACACCTAGTGGGATGGTGTAATAAATTGTAGGCTAAATTAGTGAATAGTCTGTTTAATTAATAGCCGTTGCAGGATTGAATTTTAACAAATGTAGGTGCTGGGTTCTGCATGTGGGTCAGGGCATCCCTGGGGTATATGTACAGACTACAAGATTAGAGAGAAGCCCTGCACAGAGCCTGCTGGAGTTCAAGAATCTCTTGGAGAATGCTCTTGGAAATGTGGCCTGAATTTTGGGTGATCCTGTGTGGAGCCAGGATTTGAACTCAGTGTCCTTCCAAGTGTTCTACGTAGACTGAGAATTTGGAACATGGGAACATATTACCTTGCGACGGATTGATTTTTTTTTTTTTTTAATGTTTGTTTGTTTGTTTGTTTGTTTGTTTTATTCTTTTTTAAATCTAGAAGTATTGTGTGTTTCTGCAACTGTTCATGCAACTATTGGATTTGGAATAATTAATAGAGTGCTATCATGAGAATATTCACGTTACTCTTATTTCTATCAAAATTCTTGCTGGAAGCATTGAGTTTTGTTGTATTTGTTTTTATTTCCAAGGATTCAAAACGAGGATTTGGGATTGCAGTTTCTGGTGGCAGAGATAACCCACATTTTGAAAATGGTGAAACCTCAATAGTCATTTCAGATGTTCTCCCAGGTGGCCCAGCAGATGGATTACTTCAGTAAGCAATTTTTTTATTTCTTTGTCTGACATATTTTTAGGAGCATGGCTACAGAATAATTAAAACCTTCAGAGAGTTGTGGTTAATGTCTTGGTGATTTAGTCCTACTGAGATTTGATAATTTCTTGAAGACCTAAATGACTGTTTTAAATGGAAACAAAAACCGAAACAAAATAATACCTGGGGTTGTTCTTCTTCACTGTTTTCTAAGAAAATAAATTTCAGTAGTGTTGAAAAGCTTTTATTGCCACCTGTATCTCCTTTAGGATTGTATGTCTTCTAAAGAAACAACAGAAATACTTAGCATCTCAAAACATTCATCCTGTTCTTCTTCCAGGAAATGTACTTCCACGAAATGTACTTCCTTATCAGTTATTAGTTTTCATGAGAATGGCCTAAGTCAGGTCACCTAATGGAGAGTCTCAACCCTTAAGGTACTGGAAATGATAACAGGAGAGGGAAGAGAAACAGAATTGTGTGCTAAATATTATTTTGAAAGAAATAAACGCACTCCAGTGTCCTTTAGATTACATCTTCCTCGGTGAGACATTTACCGTATTTTTAAATCTATAGGCTGACATAAACAGTTTCCAGTCCACAGCTGATTGGATTTTCATCCTAGAATATCTGATGAATTTCAGAAGAACGATGATGTTGCACAGTAATTCAAAAGAGAATGTTCTGGCCATTTTGTCAAACAGAAATCTGGCAAGATAATGGAAAGGCTCTCGCATAGGAGTGGGTATTGAAGGACTAGATGAGTACTGCAGAACAGAAAATGGCATATTTTTCAGTAAAAGGAATTGGAAAGGTATGAAAAGAGGCACAGAAGTCATTCAAGAGTTAGAGAAAATGCTCTACAAATGGAAGCTTAAAGTACATAATCTTCTTATTTAAAAAGAAGATTGTGATGTGACTTGATTACATGGAAAATAATTGGTACTAAGAATTTCTTTTATCTAGCTGAAAAAAAGGTAGAGTAGCCAATACTTCTTTGGACTGATTCTTTGTAAGGTTACTAGCTGAGTAAACACCAGAAAAAACTAATATGTGGAGTTGTGAATTTTTTTTATCTCCTGCACTTTGTAGGTTTGAAATGCCTTTTGAGAAGATATGTTTTTAATTTATCATGTATTATGGATTTGTTTCCTGTGGGTGGCCAAGTGCTAATGCTCCCTGACACACATAGGAAGTTTGAAAAGTTGTTGAATTTATAATCTCTTTTGACCTGAGCCTTTCTTTTTGTTTTGCTTTGTTTTTGGTTTTTGCCTTGTTTGTTTGTTTTGTTTTGTTTTTCTGGGGGAGGTCAGTTTGGTGTGGTTTTCACTGGTCTTGTTCTTCCAGAATAGACAGGGCTTGAATGCCAGTCTTTCAGAAGATTGTGCAAGAGTAGGTTTTTTTGTTTAGATTTGCATGAATACTATGCATGCATGAATTTGCATCTCTCTTGAAATTTGCATGCTGCTGTGAAAAAGAAGCTACCACTAGGTGTGAAAGATGATGAGTTATGAAAAACTTAATAAATAAATGATAGTAAGTTTGATTGTTATCTTGAATATTCTTAAAACAAAAGAAATTAAAAAAAAAAAAAAAGAAAGAAATCTGCCTTGAAGTTACGGTAGTTAACTGAAGCAGGACATAATAATACACATACAAAATTATGCTATTCTACCGAAACTAATTATCATACATACTGAAAGCTTCTTGTAGCAATCTCAGGTGTTATAGTGTCTGTCTAACAAGTACTGTTTTTAAGAAAAAATTCTTGGTAAGGTGAATGAAATCCTTTGGTCCATCTTTCTCCTCATTTCTAGGGGAGAGGAAGGGAGGGAGGTTTTCTTCTGGTGTTTTTATGAAGACTTCTCTTAAATACTTTTCTCTCTTTCTCCCATCTTTTTCAGAGAAAATGATCGCGTGGTGATAGTTAATGGGACCCCAATGGAAAATGTTCCACATTCTTTTGCAGTACAGCAGCTTAGGAAAAGTGGAAAAGTGGCCACCATTGTAAGTGCAGTATGAATATATTCACTCTACAGTGGTATATGGCTGTGTGATTGGTTAATCAAGATTTTGGTTTTCTTATATGAAATGATCTACAAATGTGTAAAGCAAAGCAAGCCTTTGGCCAGTAGAATGTGCAAGTAAATAAACAATATTTTTGTTTTAGTTTATACAGGTGAAGCAAATGGAAGTTAACTTTGTGACACTGTTATTTATCTTACTGAAAAACTGGGAATAAAATTTGTCTTCAGTCTTTAGTTTTACTAATGAGTGCTTGTTGGACAAAATAAAATAATATGAAGAAAATGATGTCCAGCATTCATTGAATTTGCTTTTCAGACTGGCTCTCTTTGGGAGATGCACCTACTGTTGTTTTAAAGGGGCTGTCACATTTGCAGTAGCATACTTACTGCAGAGCTGAAATATATGGTTACTGATGTGTTTTTTGTGGTTCTTTTGTGTGTGTGTGTTTATTTTGGTTCTTCTGATTTTTATACTTCCAATTAGTAAATATTTCTTTTGCACATCTAAATAATCTCATGTGCTTGTTTTTCTGTGAACTTCAGTTGTCATAAGTACAGCACTACAGTATTTCAGAGTTTTGAGGTTCTGCAGCTCTGATCAAAGTGTGAAGAACTTTTCATTTGTCAAATGTCAATTTCTGACTGTTGGAGTTGCTTTCTTTGTTTCATATTGCACTGAATAGGTTGTGAAAAGACCACGGAAAGTGCAGGCTGCTGCTTTGAGGAGAAGCCCTTCCCTTGACTATGAGGACAGAGCTTTAGATGTAATGGATGACCATGCAGAATTTGATGGCAAAAGCGCTCGAAGTGGTTACAGTGAAAGAAGCTGGCGTAGTGGCAATGGAGGGCGCAGTCAAAGTTGGGGAAACAGCCTGGATCAGAGCTATAGAGATGATCAAGACAGAGAGCACAGCCGAAGCAGAGATTGTAGTAGGGAATGTAGCTACAGCCGTGATCGAAGTCGTGGTAGGAGCATTGACAGGAGCTTGGATCAAGACTATGGCAGAGATCGGAGCAGGGGAAGAAGCGTTGACAGGGATGGTGGCTATGGACAGGACTTCAGAAGAGACTACAGTCCAGCCAGTTACAGACATGGATCTCAACCTGATCCCAGATACGTGAGGGAGATGAGGAGCCTAAGTCGAGACAGGCTTCATTCTCGTAGTCCTTCACCTGAAACACACCATCAGCATGAGTACCTAGGACCACAGGATCAGAATGGACCCATCAGTGTTCTCTTAACAAAAGGCAAACATAATGAAGGTAGGTGTGGGAGGGGAGGGGTTGACTTTGATGTAACATGTTTTTCTGGAAACTTAAATATTTTCTGGGTACTTAAATATTCTCTGTTTTAGAATTTAGATAGAGCTTTTTCACTGGTTGTTTAAGTTGTTCTTTTCTTCTCTCAGTTTGCTCTCAGATGTTTTTGGTGTTTGTTTTTTTTTTTTTTTCCCCAGCACTTTGGACTTTGCCTTTGTACAAATAACTGTTCACCCAGATCATTTGAGTCTTTTTGAGCCTCTGTGTCCTTTAGTTTTCTGTTTTCTCCTCCCTATTCTTCTAAATGTGGTTTGAAGCATGGATATGATCATGACTGAGATTACACTTGTCATATCCATAAAATGGGTAGTTACAATGAGTGAAGGGTAGACTCTGCTGTTAATGGTGCATTTAATTTTATTATGCTGAAGGAAATAAGTGGTTCCAAGAATTGTTTGATTCTAAATACTTCAGAATGTAATTAATGGATGCTGAAACAGCAACAACTGAAATAGCCGTCTTTTTCTGTCAAGCACTGGAGTGTGTAGATAAAAGCCAAAAGTGGGATCTTTTAATGCGCAGTGAAATAAAGACTCTTGTAAAACCTATCTGAGATTAGATAATGCAAATTTTCTGGTTGTTTGTTTGCTTGTTGGAGGTTGTGTTGTTGTTTTAAATTTAAAATGTGCCTATTGTGAGAATTTTCTTCCTATATAAGCTTTGTATGCAGAAATCACTCATTTTGGCTCTGGTGAGGATCATTTTCCCTCCTTCTTGTTCTTCCCATGCATGTAATGTTTCTACTTCTACATATAATGCAGATAGTTATCCAAATAAGGATATCAGATGACTTTAAGAAGTTTTATATGTAGCCAGCATTTCCTTAATACTTCCTGCCACTCATATATATACACTCTGCGGTTTCTCTTAAGTGTGGTTTCTGTCTTCTTATGCTCAAAGACATGCTTTTTATAAAATCAGTGTTAACTTTTGTGCATTTTTCTCCCCTTTGCCCAAAACAAAGGAGACAACTTACTAGGTTGTTATAGATAGGAAAGGGCCCCCATAAAGCAAACAGTAAAAGAACTAGCTCTTCTCTTAGTCTTGTTGACACTTTCCCATGCCTTTCTATACCATACAAACTATGATGCAGAGAGAATGTAGTCCACTGTGTTTATGAGCATGTCCAGAACAAAGGTGTCATTTCACTTTTGAAGGTGCAGGCTAGTGGTTTGTCTGTGATTGTTTTCAGACCTGTTTATACAGGTGTGACAGCACTGAAATAGAAGCATCTGAGCTTAAGTTTGTATACTTGGTTCCCATTTCTTATTTTTCTCATAGTGTAAGGCTGCTCGTATACAACATTATTTAAAAAAATGTATGTATTCTTGCTTATTATCTAAGCTACAATGGGTTATTTTTCTGATTCTAGAATATGGTCTCCGACTTGGAAGTCAGATCTTCATAAAAGAAATGACCAGTACTGGCCTAGCAACCAAAGATGGCAACCTTCATGAAGGGGATATCATTCTTAAGGTGTGTTGTGGTTAAACTACTAGCAGTGTAGCAAGTACTTGTTAAAGATGATTTATCTGGGGAATGTCATGTTATAGTGAAATTCAGTGTTGAACTTCAGTGCAATATGGATTTTTATTATTTACTTGATACCTTTTTTATATCCAGATCAATGGTACAGTGACAGAAAACATGTCTTTAGCTGATGCCCGAAAGTTGATTGAGAAGTCTCGGGGAAAGCTCCAGCTGGTTGTCCTCAGGGACAGAAAGCAGACCCTGCTCAACATTCCTTCATTGAATGACAGTGACTCAGAAATGGATGGTGAGGTTTAATTTGGATGAAAATTTCTTCTTTCTGCACAGAGATAAATTGGATCTTATAGTGTTTTGCAGTGGTACAGTAGCACTAGGTTTTGAAACACAAAACAAGCAAAAAACTGCACACACAACTAAATACTAGCTAAATAAGCATCAAGCCAACTTCCTTTTAGGTGAAAGAAGAATTCTGTAGTAATCACATGATTACATATTGGGCAGAGGCAGAGACAGAAAAAGTAGTAATGGTCAGGCAAAATAATGGTCAATGTTGCTTACTTCCTGTACCAAACAAGTTGGTTACTTTAATAAAAGGCTTTAATAGTAAAATCATGTGGAGTGAACTGATCTCTCCTTCTGAGGACATTAACATTCATTACAGAATTCATTAGAAAAGCGTTCAGGACAAGGATATGAAGTCTCCAGGAGAAATGGTTTCAATTTCCAGTATCTTCACAAGTGATCTCTGACAGTGCATGAGCTGTATCTCACAATATGATCTCACTTTGGGATGGCCTCAGGATGTCTGGGGGAGTAGGATGTTACATTACTTGGTGCAAGATATTTGTTTCTCATATATCAGCATAGTCCGTACAGTGCTTCATAGGTTTTACTGTCATGACAGAAATGTAGCTCAAATCTGAAGGCTACTGTTTTGTCACTGAGAAGCAGTAATGAGGATGGTTAATGTAGTTTTCCTTTTCTCAGCAGAACTGAAATGAATGCTAGCTAATCTAGGAGTGGTATGGTGATAATAGTTGTGTGTTGCATGTTTCCCAAAAGTTGTGTGAAAACTTCTTGAAGTATTTTTGAGTGGAGAGAGGGGAAGCACTAAAAAGCATACAGCACCTATGGAACTCTAGTCAAATCCAAACACCATACTTGGAAGGGAAATAGACTTGAAGATTCTACATATATGTGAAAGTTTTTGTAAACAAATGTGGTAATTATATGTACAGACAGTATAGGTGTTTTTTGGTTTATTGCTGTGTTTATAGATATTTCTCTTTTCATTTATATTTTTTTTGTTTGTTTCTGTAGATATTTCTGAAATAGAGTCAAACAGATCATTCTCCCCTCAAGATGACAGATTACATCATTCTGATCTGGATTCACATTCATCCAATGAAAAGCTGAAAGATAAAACAAAGTAAGAAGTGTTGTTTTCTAGTATTTTGCTTATCAAGGCAATGCTTAAAATACATGCACTAACAGTTAACTGTTTTTACTGCATTCTTTCATTTTTTTGTGCTCAATTTAGTTCAAAAGATGATCCGTCCAACAGGATGTCCAGGATGGGAGCAATGCCTACGCCATTTAAATCAACTGGTGATATTGCTACAACTGCTGTCACTGTTGTAGATGCAGACAAAGAACCAAAGTACCAAGATGATGTAGCAGGTCAGAGCTTCCCATTATAATTTTTTTCCCCATTTTTTTTTTCCTTCTCCTGACTACAAAAAGTCTGTTTCCCTCAGTCACATCCACAAGTCTAGCATAGTCTTCCTGTTAATCACATCCTTGTTTGCAAAAGAGATCTGTCTTTGCTTTGTGGTATAGAGAAAGAGGAAATATCTGAGATTACCTGAAGGTAGTGGTCCATTGGAATTACTATTGCAAAAAGCATTTGCTTTTCTAGATGCTACCTAGTAGCCTCGTAGCCTAAGTAGACAAGAAGAGCTATTTCTGATGTCTGGTTTGTCTTGACTGAAAAAAGAGTTGTATATCTTTCTGATGATATTTTTTCCCCCAAGAATTAAGTAAAAGCAAAGAAACAACTGAAAATAAAGGAAAGTGGATCAGTTCTACACAAAAAATGATAGGCATTTGAATTTTTGTATTAATCTTCCTGTACCAAACAAGTTGGTTACTTTAATAAAAGGCTTTAATAGTAAAATCATGTGGAGTGAACTGATCTCTCCTTCTGAGGACATTAACATTCATTTTTGTATTAATCTTTGGCATGGGGCAGTTGGTCTGCTATCTGATCACTAAAAATTGTTGCCAGTTGAACTTTTTTTTATAGCTTAGTAACTTCCACTGACCTTTTTTTTTTTTTTTTTACACACAGTGCCTCAACCAAAAGCGGCTACAAGAACGATTCTTAAACCCAGCCCCGAAGATGAAGCGATATATGGGTAAGGAGGCATATTCCTTGTTCTTTTGCTCTCAGTGCTTTCATGACTTGCACGTATTAGTTCCATGTGTTCAGAATTTCTGTACATTTGGAGTAATACTCCTTTTAAAGTTTAATGCCAAAATCACATGCCTTCTAACTGTATGTACTTGGGAAAAAGATTAGTTTTACAAGTATTTGTATAGAAGATATAGACTTATTTTATGCCTGGAAGACCCTGTGCTTCCGTGCATTCGTAGGAATTTAGACAGAGATATGTTTTTTATTCCCTATTTTGCACTTGTGGGATAGCTTTTGGAATTTTGTGTCCTGCAAGGCCAAGAAAAGACATAGACACACTGGAGTATATCTAGCTCTGGCACATCAACAGAGTCAGTGTATGGCACAGAAGAAGAGACTATAAGAGAATGGAGGTTGTCAAGCCTGAAGAAGAGAGAACAGAAGACAGCGTTGATTCCAGCTACCTAATGACTACATGCAGAGAAAATAGAGCCCCTATAGGGCAAGGTGGTAGGATGAAGAGCAACAGACACAAGCTGGAACATAGAAAAGTCTGGCTTGGTATAGAGAAACTTTTCTGTGTGATTGGTTAATTTCTTGAACGGCTTTCCCATGTATTTTGTGGTATCTCCACCACCAGTGATACTCAGAAGCATAACTGATCAGGACAACTGCTTTGAGCACAGGTCCATTCTAGCCTGCGCAAAGCTATGGAATGTAGATAGTGTATTTTAAACTTCTTCATTATTTTATACTTAAAAAGACAACAATCCTTTTTCCCCTATACTAAGATACTAAGAGAACATTCTCTATTTGGGAACAAGTCTGTTGGAAGCAAAGGCCAATGCTGAAAAATTCTATACAGAAGTTTGTTCAAACTCAAGCCTGTGCAGTCCCTATCTGCTCTGAATGAAAGAAAAAATACTGCTTGCAAAATTTGTGGAGGTGGGGAGTTGGCAGTTTTGTGTTGTTGTTTTCTTTTTTAATCTGGTACTGTTGTTGCGTTAAGAAATAAGATACTAAAGGTTGTAAACAGTATTGATATGAAATCAGCATACCTGTTCCCTTTGACTGTTCCCAAATACAAAAATTAAAGGAAGAGGAGTGCTAAGCTTGTAAAGGAAAGCCTAAAGATTGTGCGTCTTGAATTTTTTTTTTTTTTTTTGTCAAATAGATTCTCTTCTCAGATCTTCCCTGGAGTTGGACCCTGTTGTCACTGATGTACAAATTAATCAAGTGATTATTTTGGTGAAGGGGAATTTATAATACAGGCTTAGAGTATTAGTGAGAAAGGCTGACAGATAAATACTGTCCTCTGTGTTGGAAGGTCATTCAGGCATACAGCTTTTCTGACAGGAAAAAAGCTGAACCTAATCCTATAGCCTCTTCCCTTCTGAAATATAAAAGGTATGACAGATAACATAACAGTAAAATATATTTTGAAGTATTTGTGGTAAGAGTAAACAGAAGTTCCACATGATCTAATAAATGTTAAACTGCAAAGAAACTGTCATTTGTTTGACGGTTCTTGGGTGCTTGGAGGAAAAAACTATGAGTGGGATTACTCATTACTCAGGCTGTTTTCATACAAAAAAATTAAAATAAAAAAAAAAAAAAGCTGCTTATGTGACAGAAGATCCAGTAGGTGGTAAGTATTCAGGACGTCAGAAACCAAGAATTTGTTTACTCTCTGTCATGTATGGGTATGTCACTTCGTCCCCTTTCTAACTCAGTTTCTACTCTAAAAAATGTAAATTTTCTGCTTTCTTTCTTTGAAGCATTACATGGGTAAGTACAGCCTATCTAGTGACAGAAAGCATATAAAAGTATTACTAACATATTTTTTTAAGTTGCAGTTTTTTGCTCTTGACAGCCTGTTACTGTCATATGCCTAATGTTTGGCTGTCCTTCTTCTGCCTATAAATCTTGTAGTCCTAATACGAAAATGGTGAGATTCAAGAAAGGGGACAGTGTGGGTCTGCGGCTTGCTGGTGGAAATGATGTAGGGATATTTATTGCTGGAATTCAAGAAGGCACCTCAGCTGACCAGGAAGGACTTCAGGAAGGAGATCAGATTCTCAAGGTATGAATTTGTGTTTTGAAATTCAAGCTTTTATAATTTTTTATTTGCTTCTTACTGGAAATATAGAACAAGTCATGTTCTCAGAAAGTCAGATTTTTGCTTGATGTGTAACTGTGTGATGGAGCAACCTTACTATAATCAGCTTATGAAGGAGAACTCAAATTATATATCGAGATGTATAAAATTCTGTGGAAAGAATAGATAGGGAAAAGATTAAGTTTAAAAAATGCCTCAAGATTTTCTGTACACTGTTTCCTCCTAGTCTTGGAGAGGAGAAAAAAAAAATTGGAGATAGTATATTTTTCTTTTTTTAATTTTTCTTCAACTTATTTAGATGACAAGGTTCTGAATTATTTTTTCTATGGTATTTTGTCCTTTTTCATTCTTTTTTTTTTTTTTTTTTTTTTTTTTTAGTTCAATTTTAGGAGCCTTTTTAAGGCCTTTTGGAGACTATTCAAGTCGTAGAAGAAATTGAAACAATCTAGCAATAAACAACTAGAACCTTATTATTCTGGGAAGGCTACAGCGAATGGCAAGATTAAAATATCCATATTGACTTAATAAATAAATGTAGGGGAAAAAAAAGGAAGATAATACATAAGACAGGACTAGGGACATCCTGCCCCTGTACTCAGCATTGGTGAGGCCTCGCCTCGAGTACTGTGTTCAGTTTTGGGCATTTCAGTACAGAAAGGACATGGAGGTGCTGGAGCAGGTCCAAAGAAGGGCAACAAGGCTTGTGAAGGGCTTGGAGAATATGCACTATGAGGAAAGACTGAAGGAAATGGGGCTGTTTAATACGGGGAAAAGGAGGCTGAGGGGAGACCTTATTGTTTTCTTCCAACATCTGAAAGGTACTTACAGCGAGAGCAGGGTTGGTCTCTTCTCAGGGTTGGTGACAGGTGACAGGATGAGGGCAAATGGCCTCCAGTTGCGCCAGGGTGAGTTTAGGTCCTATATTAGGAAACACTTCTTTACAGAAAGGGTTGTTAAGTACTGGAATAGGCTCCCCAGGGAGGTGGTTGAGTCACCATCCCTGAATGTGTTTAAAAACTGATGTGGTGCTCAGGGATATGATTTAGCAGTGGATTGTTAAGAGTTAGGGTAGTATGGTTAGGTTGTGGTTGGAATTGATGATCTTTAAGGCCTTTCCCAACCTGACCAATTCTTGATTCTATGATTTTATATATATATTTAAGTTAAACAAAAAGCTTTGGGTATTCTTTTTAATTGTTGTTTTTCTCTGGTGTTATTTTTATTTTTTGGTATGTAGGTAAACAGTCAGGATTTCAGAGGCATTGTTCGGGAGGATGCTGTTTTATACCTATTAGAAATTCCCAAAGGTGAAACAGTGACAATTTTGGCTCAAAGCAAATATGAAGGTGGGTGCTTTTAACAAAATGTGTATGAAGCTTTTGGAGGTTTCAGAAGGATGCTGTGATCTATTTTGCAAGTGAAACTACAGATAACTTCTCTCTTGCTTATTCTTGACAGCATTTTAGTTACCTTTTCAGTAGCATACAAGACAGCTGTCTTCCATACCACAGAAATCATAGAGATACCTGTATGATATGTCTATCAGAACATTTAATCACCATTTGCATTATTAGTTAGTAGCATCTTTTCTTAATCCTGATAGCATAGTGCTTGTTCCTTCTGCTTTTCTTTGTGTAGCAGTTGGCCTAAGATCTGGTGTTTACGTTTCTTTTCAGCTGTGCCTTGGCAGTCATAAGGTATTCACAGTCACCCAGCAGAAAGAGTGCAATTAATGAGCAGTGAAGGAGCAAGCCTTTTGCTTTTTGAGGGTGCAAGTTCATGCTTCCCTTTTGCTGTAATGGCTATTTATGTACAAATATAGAACGTTATTGATAATTATAGGTGCAGGGTATTGGTTGTGAAGGCTGTTCTTTTGTGTATTTTTGAGTGGACTGGAAGAATTGAATGGAGTTAAATCCATCCGGCGACTGATCACTGGTGGTGTTCCTCAGTGGTCAATAGTGGAGTTGGCCCTTTTTAATTATCCTTATTGATTATTTGGATGAGGGAATTGATTGCAGCCTCCGTAAGTTTGCAGATGACACCAAGTTTGGATGAAGTGACAGTGTGTCTTAGGAATGCACTACAGCAGAATCTGGACAGGCTGAATTGATAGGTTGAGGCCAAGTGTATGAGCTTTAAGAAGACAATTTCTGGGTTCTGCGCTTTGGCCACATAACCCCATCCATCATGTTCTTGGGGCAGAGTGGCTGGAAAGCTGTGCAAAGAAAAAGGACCTGAGGGTGTTAGCTGACGGCTGGCTGAACATGAGCAAGAAGACTGCCCAGGTGGCCAAAAAGGCCAACGGCATCCTGGCTTGTATCAAAAATAGTGTAGTCAACAAAAGCAGGGAGGTGAGCTTTACCATGTACTCAGCTCTGGTGAAGCCACACCTTGAGTACTGTGTTCAGTTTTGGGCTCCTCACTACAAGAAAGACATCGAGTGTGTCCAGAGAATGTCACTGAAGCTGGTGAGGGGTCTGGAGCACAAGTCTTATGAGGAGCAGCTGAGGGAACTGGGATTGTACTAGAGAAGAGGAGGCTCAAAGATGATTTTATCACTCTCTGCAGCTTACTCCTTGTAAAGAGATTGTGGTGAGATGGTGTCAGCCTCTTCTCCCATGTAAATAGTGGCAGGATGAGGTAATGGCCTCAAGTTGCTCTAGGGAAGGTTCAGAGTGAATATTAGGAAAAAATTATTCTTAGAGTGGTGAGGAATGTTTGAACAGGGAGTAGGGACATGGTTTTGTGAGCATGGTGGTGATGGGTTGATGGTTGGACTAGATGGTGTTCTTAGTCTTTTCCAGCCTTCATTATATGTTTCTAATTTTAAACTCTTAACTGAAATGACAGTTTAATCTTTCTTTCAAATGTAAAAATCATAAACTAAATGGAATTCCTTCTTTAGTATACAGAGACATCATGGCCTGTGGCAGAGGAGATTCATTCTTCATCAGAAGCCACTTTGAGTGTGAAAAAGAGTCACCACAGAGCTTAGCCTTTACCAGAGGGGAAATCTTTAGAGTAGTTGATACACTGTATGATGGCAAACTGGGAAACTGGCTGGCTGTGAGAATTGGAAATGAACTTGAAAAGGGCCTCATTCCAAATAGGAGCAGGTAAGCTGACGTTCTGTTCTCCTATTCATTGTTAAAAATATGTGTTTTTCTTTTCTTTGCCATACTTTTCTTCTTTGCTGTTTTTTTTTCCTATCTTCCATAAAAGAATGATGAAATTGTTCTGCCTTTACTTTCACAACAGTTGTTCCTTCAAAACTGTAGATTTTAGAAGATGGTGGGAGAAAGAATAGTTTTATGTACACACTGAGCTGGGCTTTTGCAGCATAGCCCTAGAGCTCATGATTAAGTAATCACCCAAGCATTGACCATAAACTTCTTCAATTCCTCTTGTACAAAATAGGAAGAAGGTTCTTTTTTTGCTTGAGAATAGTTTTAAAAAACAAGCGAAAAAACAAAATCCAGCAAGATCTCATTACTGCATGTGCAGGGATACTCTGATAATTTATCTCTTCCAGTGCAGAACTCTTTGTTAATTCTTGCGGAAAACAGTTCAAGAATTTATTCCAAGATAATATTTCTTGGTAGCCATAATAGTAATTTTTGCATGAACTGTGGAGTTAAACTACAGCAATGATTTTTTTTTGGTATTTTGCTTATATTACACTGTTCTGGTAAAAGTTAAGGTGAGATAAAAGTAATCCAGTCCATAATTTGTGCACTGAATAAGAGAATTAAAATTCATCTGCAAAAGCAGTAAGGATTTTTTTTTAAACTCTAGCCTTTACGTCCTTGAGGGGGGTAACAATTTTACAATGGGGAGAAAAAAAAAATGTTCTCAGTTGCATTGTACAGAAATTCCTGAAATACAGTCATACATGGTTCCCCTGCCTCTTTCCTGGTTAGTACATTCTGTCCTCTCTGGTAATTAATATGTCCAAACCAGCCTTTATTTTTATACTGTAGTGACGTAACTTAAAAGCTCTAATAAAGAAGAGAATAATGGCTGTAATTATTTAGGCCATCGTGCTCTTTCTTCACCATGCTGTGCAGTTGCATTCTTTTATTTATGCCTGTATGAGTTATCAGTTTAAAACTTGTGGGCTGTTTGGCGAACTGGATCATCATGCTGATGCTTAGTTTGCTCCAACGCACAAAACTTGCATTTGTATCCTTTTCAACTTTCATGTCTGCCTAGCTGTCAAAGTACCAATTGCAAATTCAAAACTCACTTATTCAGCTAAGGGCCTTATGCCCATTTTTGACTAGTTGCATACACACAAGCACTTTGCTTTCTCTGTCAGAGCCGAGCAGATGGCCAGTGTTCAAAATGCCCAAAAAGATGGCCCTAGTGACAGGGCAGACTTCTGGAGAACACGCGGCCAGCGATCTGGAGTGAAGAAAAATTTGAGGAAGAGTCGTGAAGATCTGACAGCTATTGTATCAGTGGGCACAAAATTCCCAGCTTATGAACGAGTTCAGTTGCGTGAAGGTAAGTGTGAGACCACTGTAGCCAGTTGTCCATTTATTGCTGGCTCTTTTGGTGTCCATTTGTTCAGCTAAATCAGTGATTTGGAACAACTTAGGCTTAAGTGTTAAATTTGAAGAGCAGAAAAAGATCATGTTTTTATCAGAATGCAAATTAACAACTTTAAAAAGAAAGCTTTCTGTGTTTTCTAAACTGCTGTTCTCACTTGCCTCTAAATTACACATGCCAATTTCAGGTTTCAAAATGAAGAAAAAAAGAAACAAGTAGAATTTTTTTCTTTGTTTCCTCAACTTCTCTGTGGCTTGCTTAGAAAGTACAATTCATGTGACTGAAATGATTCACCATTTCTAGTTCGGCACCACTTAACATTATCTTGAGAGCAAGTAAAACCTAAGTATATTCAGTAGTTTGTATATTCAGTCCAAATTTGTTAGTAAATTTGGAGTTGATATGGTCTGTCCTTGTGACTTCAAATTAGCTGTTAAAAAAATTAGCTATATTGCTCATTATGTTAGGTAATGTTTCCTGGACATTTGCACACGATAATGTTGTGGGGAAAAAGAAAAAAAAAAAAAAGGAAAAAAACCTGTAAAATGTGTTTTGAAGGAACTCACCAATGAAGGCTGAGAAATAGAATGGTATTCATCCACTTGCAAGAACTATATTAGCACTTCTTTTGACATTAGCATAACAGAATTTTGCATTTTTTTTGCTTCTTTAGGCTGCCTTGCAGCTGGTTTAGCATTTGTATCTTTAGTTTCAGAAATCCCACTGGGTGAAGGGTCATGTTATTTTGTAGATGGAAAGACTGCTGAAGATGCATCATGAATTTTCAGAATGTAGAATCTTCTGAACCCATCATCATTATGAGGAATAAGAAAGTTAAACTGAAACACTTTTATGCTTTCTCAGCTGATGAAGTTTTCTTCGAGTTGTATAAATGAGGATATTTTGTACTACTTCACATAAGTATGTAAAAGTGATCTTACTGAGCTTACCTTTTCTCCAATTATATTTTTTGCAGCTGGTTTTAAGAGACCTGTTGTGATATTTGGCCCTATTGCAGATGTTGCTATGGAGAAGTTGTCAAATGACTTGCCTCACCTGTACCAGACTGCAAGTAAGTTGTCCTTCCAGCTTCCTTATCATCTTTAGCTGAAAAATTGGTAACTTCATCTCTTACCTTTCCAGCTACTATAGGTGAGATAAAATGTTTTCTTTGCAGAGACAGAACCCAGAGATGCAGGTTCAGAGAAGGCAACTGGGGTAGTACGCTTGAACACCGTGAGGCAAATCATTGAGCAGGTAGAGTATTTTTCTATGAGAATTGCTCACTCTTAAAGGCATATTATTCAGTTTGTTTGCTCTTAAAACCTGGGAGTTCTCCCATCTTCACTGAATCTATTTCTGTGATGATCAGACTTGTTTAATCATAGGGCTGTTTTGAAATGTATTTAAGATCAACTTATGTGATTTTAATAGCTGTTCTCTAAATGAGAATGCGAACCTGATACTAAAAATTAAATTCTGCTATATTACCCATTCTGAATTGAAGCAGAGGGGTGTCTACGTTGTACAGTTTGCTTCCTGAATTTGCCAGTGTAGTTTTTCTGTCATGCGGTGCTTTACACATTGCAATTACCATCAGAAATCTAATATTTTAGTTTCCTTCAAAGTTTCCCTTATGTGAATTGACTAGGAAGGGATTGTGGTAGCTGTGATATCTACTGAGACTGCACTGACTCTTTTTGTAATACTCTTTGGGGATAAAGTAAATAGGTTGTATTCAATGCACCTAAAAAAGTAGGCTAAATAATACATTCTGCTGCTTATTACCCTGAGCCCAAGAAAGGCAGTGCCAGAGGGGTTAAAATATGACACGGGGCTATTCAGAGCTCAGGCCCCGTTGCAGCACACATCCGATTCATCTTAACACTAGAGGTAATTAAAGGAAAAAAGAGTTTCCACAGCTAATAATAGATAAAATTCCACAGTTAATACCCAGAATTGTTGGGTTAGTGGAAGCTGTGGTATGAACAGGTAGAGAGAAAGGCCAGTTAAATTCAGTAAAATAAATGTATTTAACTTAACATTAGTTAGTTAATTAACATAAGAATGTGGATACAGTCAGGCAAAACTGTTCAGAAAAATGGAGCTGAAGGGAAAATGTTGCCTGCTGTGGCTTCTGAATGTAAAATAACTGTAGAGAAAAAATCCAGCAAGTTAGGCGTCCTAAATTTTCTAGGATAAGATGTTCCAAACTCTGCCCCTTAGTCTATATAGGCATAATGCTGATTGTGCTTTCTTGTTAACAGGATAAACATGCTCTCTTGGATGTGACTCCTAAAGCAGTGGATCTGCTAAATTATACCCAGTGGTTTCCCATTGTAATCTTCTTTAACCCAGACAGTAAGCAGGGTGTGAAAACAATGAGGCAAAGATTGTGTTCCACATCTAACAAGAGCTCAAGGAAGCTTTACGAGCAAGCAAGTAAGCTGAAGAAAACTTGTTCCCACCTCTTTACAGGTAAGGAAGAATATGCGTCAAACCTGTTTATCAGTGGATGTCTGTGTCTTCAAACATCCACTTACTGCTCTGCCTATTAACTCAATATGCAGGCTGGAACTAGGACTGTGAAAGTATGGTCATGAGCAATCTCTTCTTTGACTTCTTCTCAAAATTCCTTGTTTTGCCAAATTACGATTCAAAAAGGTCTGAGAATCAGCATGCTGTCTTTCCGAGGCAATATGCATATGAGTTAATAATCTTAGGATATGGACAAATAAAATAAAAATACTACATATTTGTGATTTAAATGAAATGTCTATTTAACATTCTCACGTAAATGTGTATAAATACATTCTCCTTAATTTTGTATAGCCACCATCAATTTGAATTCAGCTAATGATAGCTGGTATGGTAGTCTGAAGGATACAATTCAGCAACAGCAAGGTGAAGCAGTTTGGGTGTCAGAAGGAAAGGTAAGCAATCAGTCCATGCTAATCTATACAGATGTCTCGAGATAACCTCTTGCCAGGGAAAATGTTCAAATTTTTGTTAGCTCATGCTGGACATACTAGACAAGTGTCAGTTGATGTCTGTCTTGCTAACTAAAAATTACCTGTTTTTCTGTTATACTTTGGAACTTTGATCACTAATGCTGTGGGTAGAGAAGAGTGATGAGGAGGAATAAACTTCACAGGATTTTCCCTTATGATTCTTCATTAGAATTTCTTTTGTTTTCTGCAGAGTCAAATTCTTAAGCAGTTGTTAGCATGATGTCATGACCTATCTAAGCTCTAATTCTTATTTCTTTAGTCTTTATTCCTTAATTCTTAATAACTTTTCTGCAGGTAGATGGCATGGAAGATGATGCAGATGATCGCATGTCTTACCTTACTGCCATGGGTGCAGACTATTTGAGTTGTGACAGTCGGTTGATCAGTGACTTAGAAGATACAGATGGAGAAGGAGGTGCATACACTGATAATGAACTTGATGAACCTTTGGATGAACCAAGAATTTCATCTGTTGGCCGGTCCTCTGAACCTGTACATCATGAGGAGGTGAGATGCCTGGATTTTCAATAAGACTGTGCTTTGGACTTTATGAAAGCCTTGTTTATGTGGTCTAGAAATAAAAAAATATTCTCTTGTACTGTCTTTAAGGTGCAGCATTAAGTTACTTATGACAGTGTTTTGGAAATATCTTCTGTATGGCAAAAGTAATAATATCTCTGCTGCTCTGCTTAATTCCATAGGTTACTGCTGATGTCTCATCACCTTGAACTTGACAGTTATATCTGCAGTGATTAAGATTGCTGACAGTCTTCTAACTTTTGGTTATTCTTCCCAAAATAGTAAACATGAGAGAGACCAAAAATGGTTGAATTACTGGATACTGCAGGGTTGTTTTTTATCTCTTATGTTCTATCACAGAATATAAAGAAATTTAGCTTGGAACAAAGAACTCCATTGAGGAAAGCTGGTAGCAGGGAGATTCTTAGAGAACCTAGTCCACCTCCAGCATTCAAGCCTGAACCACCTAAGGTAAACTTGTAGAAACAGAATACAAAGTTCCTCTTTCAGGAGAACTTTTCAGGGTGGCACATTAAGAAAAGCCACAGGAATGATCAAAGACAAGAAAACAAGGAAAGTGCGGAGAGAAAATGAATTAGAGGGTTGCAAAAGCCACCAGAAAGAAAAGGGGTTATAGCTGTCTTCAAATTTGTGAAATCTCTGTATGGAGAACGAAATGATACTGCTTTTTGTGTCTGCTAATTAATTAAAAGTTACTTTTTGAAAGCTGCAAGAACAAATCTAAGCTAATCATCAATAAACGTTTATCTGATGAGCCACTGTTGTGAAATGCAAAAGCAGAATCTACCACCTCTGTCATCAGTTTCCATTACTAGAAACTGTTGTTAACTAGCTAGTCAAAACTTGCTCAGGAATGAAACAGGAAAAAACAAGATGATGCTTGGAAACGAAATTCTACTATTGCAATTTCTGATTTTCACTGACCTTAGAGTCTTTTCTGCAAGAGACTGAGGTGCCCTCACAGTCTTCATTCCATGTTCAAGTATATTACAAGTACACTTTAGCAATGGAGGTAGGACCGAGTGGAATGCAAACAATGAAAATAACGGTGGAAGAGAAAATAGGCATGTTGCTGTGCACTTCTAATGATATTTTGTATTAGGTAGAGAGGACAAATCATCTGGTTGCTCAGTATTCTCTGTGCTCTTTCTTGGAATGTCTTGTTATGGTAATCTTCAAAGATTTGTACCAGTAAATCTAAATGTACTGCTTTTCTGTAGGTTGTTGTGTAGCATATGGATGTATGGCTACCCAAATGATCCAAATGTTCAAGTACCGTTCAAGATTTTCTTTGAATGAAGGGTGACATTATATACATTGGGTGACATTAAATACAAAGGCAAAATGATTAATTTCAGATAAAAGTCTTTATTTCAGATAATAATATGAAATTATTATTGTAAACGTATTATTAATACTTCTAGGGGAAGTTACAAAACAAAGAGGATCTATATGACTTCCCTAAGAACTATGATTCCAAACCAAGTAACATCCATATGAGCAGTGAGACTTCAACTGTATCAGCCAAAGCAGCACCACCACCTGTTTCTGTGAAACCTACTTTTGGGCGTCCCATCCTGAGAAATACTCAGCCAGCAGTCCCATGTGCAGAAGAAGAAGAGGAGGGAAAGTTGGAAGAGGAAGGAAGCGAACAAGAAAATACTCCAAAATCTGTACTGAGGAAAGTAAAAATATTTGAGGAGATGGATCATAAGGCGAGGATGCAAAGAATGCAAGAGCTACAGGAGGCCCAGAATGCCAGGGTATGAAGAAATGCATTCTCCCCTTGTTGTGCTTTCCCCATACAGAACAGCCTGCATCCCGAAAGTGAAAACCATGCACTTACATTGTGCTGATTCTGGAGAGGGAAAGTGTGGTAAATTACACAAAGGGGAATACCATTGTGTGGATTTGCATATAAAAAGAGAGTATAATTTTTGGCTTCTTATTTTAGTTGTAGCAAGCTGTATCTTAAAAATCCTTCTGTTCTTGCAATCCCTCATTTCTGCATGTACTTTTAATCAGTACTCTAGCGAAAGATCTTGCAACTGCAGGAATATAAATAAGATCATTAATCAGTTTGTGCTTTAATTGTTTCAGATGTAGCTGTGACATGCTATGTCTATTATCTAGGGTTCCCTTATGGATAGACTTAAAATGAACAGTTACTTTCTCCAATTTTATTTTAAAGATTGAAATAGCCCAGAAGCACCCAGATATTTATGCTGTCCCCATCAAAACACAGAAGTCAGACCAGAACTGGACTCAGCCCATGAGGTAAGGCATATCCAATTTAAAATTGGATTCCTGTCTTGAATGTGCAGCTCAGTGTCAAGAGGATAGTTTGTATCCATAAAAACAATCCTACCTACGTAATTGCTTTCTTCTAGTGCCTTGAAAATTACTGTAATGATGAGGCAAAGCCTCAGTTAACCCCTCTTGTTTTTCATGATTTTCTTTTTTCTTTTAGTACACTCAATATTTTAGTTAGCTAGGGAGAAACAACTGTGCATGTTTACTGAGAGACTTGCACAGTCAGTTTTTAGTTCCAGTTACTATTAACAGCTGTTTTAATTACTCAGGTGCCTTGTCAGTTGCAGATGTGTTGCCTGGGTAGGGAAACCAAGAATGAAACTTTGCTGAGGTTACCCATCAAGGCATAGCTGAGAAGAGAACATTTTTTCAATTTAACTAGTCTCATGAAATTGTTAGACTCTTTCATTTAAGTTCAGTGATTTTTCAATTGTAAGACCACTGTGTCAGCTTAAACCTACACAATACCAAGACACAAACACTGTTGTTTTGTGCTCTACAGAACTCTTCGAGATTTTCTTGTTTCTTAGTTGTAGCCAGTAGAAATGGGACTTCTTTCTAAAGAGTCAAATCCTTTGATGTCACAGTATATAATTTAAAATGCAGAAACGTACTAAAATGCAGAAAACAGAATTTTAATTTCAGTTTTTCTTGGTAGGTTAAAAACTTTTATGTGGGGTTTAGATGCTTTTTGGAAAGCAGCCAAAAAAAATCATTTTGAACTGCGTGTGCCAAGTATTTGCCTACTTCCAGCAATCAGTGCTTTTAGCATTTTGGAGGAATGGTAATGGCTGCCCTGGAAAGGGGCAGTGACACCTTATTTATGTACAGTGTGGGGCTGCAAAAATCATGGGTTTTGACACCAGTGAGATGCCTTTGGCAGACTGCATTTACATACGCATGCTTGGTTTCACATTAAATGGGCAGCACCAAAGTGTATAAAAAGGAAATACACAGATTATTTGTGCCTGCTTTTTTAGAGATGGGAGCCATTGTAAGAGCCTTGAATGAAGGCCATGAGTTTAAGAAATATCACATCTCAGGCCTTGAGACAGCAGGCCAGAGATGCAAGGAAAGGAAGCAGGCATACAGAGAATGGTGCAGAAATGGATGGTGCAGAACAGTTTGAGGAAGACGGCGCTCAGTTGCGGTACCAGCAGTAGCGTGGAAACCTCTGTGCTCGGGGCGTGAAGAGCAGCCAAGCTCTTGGTCATGTGGGGTGAGGTGCAGAGTAGTTAATACTTTAAAACTTGGCATTCTTCCGGGCGTGATGAGTGGAGCAAATCTGAACACGAAGCTCCAGCTTGCTGGAAATAAGATGCCGCTCTCTTGATAGTCCTACCGCAGCCATACAAATGCTGATAGTGGTAAAACGGGCTAGAAGCGGCTTCACTCTATGTGGGCTCTATGTGGGTCTCTGTGCTGTGCGTGACCATGAAGTCAATGAGTCATTTTTAGGTTCTCAGAATGGAAGTAAACATTATCTTTCTTTTCCCGTGTCTGACTGCTAGCTGCCGCCCTCCAGAACCCCAGAAACCTCCTACCAGACCTTACCTGGAGGATCGTGGCAGCTGTGGCAGTGATGGAGAGGAGGAGGAAGAGTACCGCCGGCAGCTCTCAGACCACTCTAAGAAAGGTTACTATGGACAGCCATCCAGATACAGAGACACAGAACTCTAGGCTTGCTGGTCCGTGCAAGCAGAATGCAGAAGGAGGTTCTCTTCCTTCCCGGCCAAAGTGGAGCACAGTTAGTCTTGCAAAGCTGTATTTTTTGTAGGGGAAAATTAGTAGGTGTGCTGCACAACGTAGACATATCCATAGGCTGAAACTGGAAGACTTTGTTTTTTGGGGATATACCATTTTGTTAGCGTCTAAGAAAAGAAATCACTATCGCCTGAACGCTGTTGCCTGTTTTGAGAGGACCAAATCCTGTTTTAAAGTTTGCATTATTTGTTGCTATTTTCATACTTTAACATGAAAACCTTTTTTTCCCTTTTATTAACGCTGCCAATTTGGGCTGTTCTATGAAAATATGATCTAGGGATAAACTCCTCGATGCAACAGAACTAAACTTACAAGTATGTAAAAACAGTAAGTGCCTTTAACAAGAAGCATTTCTAATTGTTTGTTTGGACATCTGATACGTATGTAAAGCCATAACACACTAATGGGGGGATGGACTCTTTTGCCTAACTTTTTTATCAGATTCATGGCAAGAATTTACCTTGTATGTTGTTTTTCAGAGTTCATATAAGCACGATATTTCAAAAGTACTGACTGTACATAACTGACTGTGCAGCTGGTCAGGTTGGCTGGAAAAGACCAGGTTGTGCTAAAACAGAAAAAATGGTGTAGAAATTCAGTCATGTATCGAAATTTCCACAGCCACAAATAATAAACAATAGATTCTAGACAAATGTTGCATTTCTTTTTTTTTTTTAATTCTAAGCAGTGTTTGGCTGCCAGAGACTGACTTCCATGAACATACTTACAGCAGTACATTGTTCTAGGCCTCATCTCCTGCTCTTCAGTAAACTGGGAAGCATCACTGTTGCTGTTATCTTAGCAGTGTTTTGAAGCCTCGGATTTTTTTGTATTTTTTCTCCTTTAAAAGAAAACCAACACAGAACTACAGACTGCCTGTAGGACACTTACACTTAGTGTATTGCCTTCTGCCTTTTCTTGCTAAAGGCAAGAAATAGTTTAAAAGAAAACATGGGCTGCTCACCTTTGTTTACTTTCATTAAGCCACTTTACTCAGCTAGAGGGAATTTGTTGTCATCAAAACATTTTTGGTGCCAGCTGTATGTGTTTAGGAGTGGGTTCATCCAAACTTCCATGCCGTAACTCTGTCTTTGCAGTAGTCACATACTGTATACATTAGATTTTAGCTTATAGGCTGGTTGTATATAAGGGAGCTGAAGCAAGAGTGATGGCCATCAGTTTGTCAGAGTGGTTTTTGCTCCACGTACGACCCTCGCCTCCTTCTGTTCATGTGTGGTTATAACTTGGTGAATAATGAAGATGCAGAGCTGCTGGAGTGGGCAGGGAGGCTGGGAAGGTGACTGGAGGGTGGGAGCACCTGTCGTATGAAGAGAGGCTGAGGGAGCAGGGCTTGTTCAGCCTGCAGAAGGAGTGGCCATGGGGAGACCTCGTTGTGGCCTTCCAGTACTTCAGGGGAGCATCTGTGCAGGAGGGAGACCAACTTTTTATGTGGTGTGATGGTGATAGGACAAAGGAGAATGGTTTTAAACTAAAAGAGGGGAAATTTAGGTTAGATGGATGTGAAGAGGAAGTTCTTTATGTTGAGGGTGGTGAGGCACTGGCACAGATGCCCTGAGATCCTATGGCTGCCCCATCCCTGGAGGCGTTCAAGGCCAGGTTGGATGGGGTACTGGGCAGCCTGAGCTGCCCAGACACTACCTCTAACTTAAGGAGAAAAAAAAAAAAGAAGAAAAAAGAAAAAAAATTAATAATTTTTAGAAGCCAATTACCTTTCTTCTATTCTGCTGACATGTGAAGAGTAACACCAAGCAACAAAGATACATGGTTAAAATAAACTATGTTATGTAACTTCTTTTCTTTTTTTCCTGAAAGAAATAGATACTGGCTGTTCTAAAGCTGCCATAAAATCGATCAACAATTCCTTCTTTCGAAAGGAAAATGGATAATATTATTAGAAATTAGAATGAGTTTGAAAGCAAAGAAATCAGTGTATATACACTTTCAATTAGTAAACTTAGATTTTCATGTCAGTTGAAATTATGACATTAAAAATGTGTTAAAGAACTACCAACAGAAATAAGATTCTATTTGTTGCACTTAAAATATAGTAAAGTAAAATCAGAAGTACAGAGGAAAGAAAAGGATCTACATAAAGGTCAGTGAGTGCATATGTTGAACAGGATCAGTAGCTTGATTCACATTCACTACTGTTATGGTATTTTACTTTTTCACTGCAGACTGCACATTTGATGCAGTATTGTAAAATGTTAAAAAATGCAGTTTCAGCTCTGAGCAGGTAGTAGCAACAGAGGACAATGAGGTCATTCAAAAACCCATAGTTCTGTTTGAATAATGGAGCAACTAAAATTTAAGTGCTTATAATTTTCCTTCACTTATCTAACTTTACAAATTTAGAGATAGTGACATCTCCAAGGTGAAATAAAATATGTTTTTGCCCATAGTGAGATAGCAGCTTTTTATGAATTTATAGCAAATACTACTGAGTAGTAGAAGACAGAAATACATGAACACTGCCAAAGGGTACTGAGAAATTAAGTATGTTTTCCCATGAGGAATTTGGCACTAGGTCAGCACCATTGCATTAGGAAAAAATCATGCTGAGGGTCTTGTCTACAAGACCTTCTCTTGAAAGACTAGATCCTCTGGTACTTCACTACAACAAAAGCTAAGATAAGATTCAAAAACTCTTTTGACAATAGCAATTTCCTTTGAAATCTCCCAACAAAACACCAGTTCTGCATGGGTTGGGTGATTCATCTAGATGGCCACCAGAGGTTTTCGTCCTGTAGGCACCTTTGGGTGATAGCAGAAAAGAGAGAGTAACAGGAAGAACAGAAATAGCATAGTCAGATTTCCACATTGTTTATGTTTTTGCATTATAAGATGCCTAAAGCAATCTGATTTGTTTGTTTGCTTCTTCAATGCTTTCTTTTTTTCTTCAGGCAAGGCTTCTCTGGCATCTCTTATGGAACATCAATTTCCAACCAAAATTGCTGTTTCTCTAAAAATGCTCTTCAGCTCTAAGGAGTATTATGCAAAGTATGCATTAATCCTGTTTTACAGATCACTAACAATCATATGTTCTCAACCCCACTGTCGATTTTATATTGTGAATACAGTCCCAGTTTGTTAGAAACAGAATGGAAAACCCCTCTGATTAGTAATCTATCAAACATAACACTTACTTATTATTCCTCAAAGAACTTTGCAAACCAGATAGCAGTATCATGTTTTTACATGTGAGAACTATTCATTTTTCCAACTTTATTTAATAAGATCAGTAGTAGGATCAGAACTTGAACCCAAGTCTCTCAAGTCTTACACTGGTCCCTTCCATGGAAATAACTGCCAAGAATATACAGCATGTGTTCAAATGACCGATATGAAATGCATGCACTGTTATTTAAAAACATAAGAATTTGTCTCAGCTTACTATTACTGCTCAAGAAATCAGGAAATTTTGGTTCTTTTCATTTCAGAACATACATGCTCAATAAAGAGTCACTGGTAAGAGTGGTGCTGGCATTTGAAAAAATTTAAATACCACGTAAACAAGAAGAAAAATGAAAATTCTATTAAAAATGTAAAGGAATCTAGCTCTGTATGTCCTGAAAACAAGCAATATGGAGCTCCTACCAGTTGGAAGAAAATCCACTTTGACAGAAAGTAAAAGCTAATTGTTGCAATGTTCGTGGAATGCTTATGTCCTAAAATCAGAGCTACAGATACTAAGTACATACCTCAAAAATTTTGTGGCATAAACAAAACATTCAATCCTTTATACATGTTATAAGATTTTTTGACTTTGCTTCTTGCATAAAAAGTAATTTCACCCATTCACAAACCTGAAATGTGTACTGATGCTTTCTAGTCTTAATTCATAAGTTTTAAAGAACAGATGAGTTCCTCTACCAACAAAAACCACCCACTCGTGTTTTTGTCCTGGTGGACATCAAGCTGAACACGAGTGAGCAATCTGCCCTTGCTGCTAAAAAGTCTAACAGAGAGGCTGTGGAATCTTCCTCTCCAGAGATCTTCAAAAGCCTGGTCTTCAAAAACATGGCCCTGGACAATCTGCTCTGAGCGTCCATGCTGGAACAGCAGGCTTGGATGAGGAAACCTCCAGAGGTCCCTTCCAACTTCAATCATTCTGTGAACACATGAATGTGAGAACACCATACTGCGGTAGAGTCAAGCCTAAGATAGATGAGATATTTGAAAGACTGAAGCTATGAAAAGACACAATAAAGATATGACTATAGATTTTATTTCTCTGGAAATGAAATGTCTTCTAAAAACCCACTGTTAGCCAAAATGGCATTGGTGGCATAAGAAAATACAATCCGGGCAGTAACAGAGCATGAGAAATGAGGGCTGCTCACAGCTAAACAGCTACATGATGGCTTGTAAGACTCTTCAGATACTGTGTTTAGTGTCATCTATCACCTCCATACAGCAAGCTACTTTTGCATTTCACGGTGATTTGGAATTCATCATGTCTTGTAGTTTTCATTGCATTTTTTTAAATGTTCTTATCAACAAGGAATAATGGAAAATATCCCCAGAAAGCACTGGTCAACTATGTTTAGGAAAATTGTATGTCTGTATTATTACATGACTCACTGATTTCTAGTTCAACATCAAGAATGGAAGCAGCATCCTAAACCACAATTGCAAATTTCTACCTATCAATAGTTCTTTCAGTCAATCATCAAACTATTTAAATTATTTTGTAGCATTTGAAGTAATAGTTTTACCCTTAGAAAAACCTTAGTGGTTTGAGATTGCTAAAAAATTTCCCTATGTACATTAATTTTTGATTAGGCATTTATGACATGGACATCTTTCCATATACCAGCAACACGGTCCAATGCCCATCCTGTAATATACTTCCTAGGCTGTTCAAAAAAAGCAGCATGTCCTGTCTCAGCTGATTCAAGGATATGCCTGCATGTTTATACTCTTAACAAAATCCAGAGCTAAATTACACAACACCTGCCTTTTCATCTCAAAAACTTTCTTTCCCTCTTTGAATTTCCCATCTTTTAACATGCCATGTACTTCTCTGGGAAGAAAAGGCTGACATTCCCATTTAATTCTAAATTTCCATCCGTTCATCTTGTTGGGTGGAAGGGAAATCCCTTTACTACAGTTTTCGCAAAGTGAAAGTGAAAAGATGAAACTAATACCTCCTCTTCAAAATGAACAGCCAGCTTCATGAAGCAGAGAGCAAAAAGTAAGGAATCCAGCAGAACAAAGATTTTGGGCACATATTTATCTTCTAAGCATACTGAAGTCAGTGCAGCTAGAGCACATTCTGGACCATGTGTCCATATTATTTTGCTAGCCAAAACTGGAAATGAAATTTGATCAGGTATTTGCCAGTCACAGGAGGAAATTGAAGCCAGGTGTCTCTCGTGGCAGAGAATTACTGCTTTTTGGGTCATTGCTTCACTGCAGGTAGTTAAGTATGTCAGCATAAATCACAGTTTTCTGCAGATGAGGAGTATATTTTTCTTAAATCACCAGTACCATGCACGATCTCTCAGCTCTCTTCTATTTACACAAAGTTATCCTTTTCTGGAGTGGTGGTAGCCACTCTATCCTGCAAGTAGCTTGTACTGCCTTTCTGCTTCTGTTACTGTTTAGCAAAAAAGACATCCTAGCACAAAGAATACTTTTTTGAGAA